GACATGTTTACCAGAACCTAAAATATAAATGGATTTTCAAAAGCTGGCCAGACTCCTTTCCTTTCCTGAGCCCTTGGTGATGCTACCGTCTGCTTACAAAGTGTGGTAAATTCAGTGCAAATTGGTGAGCCCTGTGAAAGTTTTGTTTAACTGGGGTTCATGTGGACATTTTCTATGGCATCCTCTTTTCTTCCTCTGAAGCATGAGTTCCAACAAATTCAAAACGAAACAGTCAAAATTGCTGAGTCAAGCCAGGCTTTGATACTTGATCATAAATCAGCCAAGTTCATGCAAAAACATATGCAAACACTTTGATAAACTTCATCTGAGTTGGTAACAAAACCTGAAAGTGGGTGAACCTGATGTGAGGTTTGGGTTTGGTTGTCAATGTTTCATACAGCCATAGCGCTGAGTGACTCTCTCTCTTCCTGGGGCTGGGTACCCATCATAGAATATCAGGGTTGGAAGCGACCTCAGGAGGTCATCTAGTCCAACCCCCGGCTCAAAGCAGGACCAATCCCCAACTAAATCATCCCAGCCAGGGCTTTGTCCTGCCTGACCTCAAAAACCTCTAAGGAAGGAGATTCCACCACCTCTCTAGGTAACCCATTCCAGTGCTTCACCACGCTCCTAGTGAAAAAGTTTTTCCTAATATCCAACCTAAACCTCCCCCACTGCAACTTGAGACCATTACTTCTTGTTCTGTCATCAGCTACCACTGAGAACAGTCTAGATCCAGCCTCTTTGGAACCCCCTTTCAGGTAGTTGAAAGCAGCTATCAAATCCCCCCCTCATTCTTCTCTTCTGCAGACTAAACAATCCCAGTTCCCTCAGCCTCTCCTCATAAGTTATGTGCTCCAGCACCCTAATAATTTTTGTTGCCCTCCGCTGGACGCTTTCCAATTTTTCCACATCCTTCTTGTAGTGTGGGGCCCAAAACTGGACACAGTACTCCAGATGAGGCCTCACCAATGTCGAATAGAGGGGAACGATCACATCCCTTAATCTGCTGGCAGTGCTCCTACTTATACAGCCCAAAATGCCGTTAGCCTTTTTTGGCAACAAGGGCACACCGTTGACTCATATCTAGCTTCTCGTCCATTGGAACCCCTAGGTCCTTTTCTGCAGAACTGCTGCCTAGCTACTCGGTCCCTAGTCTGTAGCAGTGCATGGGATTCTTCCATCCTAAGTGCAGGACTCTGCACTTGTTGAACCTCATCAGATTTGTTTTGGCCCAATCCTCCAATTTGTCTAGGACACTCTGGACCCTATCCCTACCCTCCAGTTTATCTACCACTCCTCTCAATTTAGTGACATTTGCAAACTTGCTGAGGGTGCAATCCACACCATCCTCCAGATCATTAATGAAGATATTGAAGAAAACCAGCCCCAGAACTGACCCTTGGGGCACTCCGCTTGATACTGGCTACCCAACTAGACATGGAGCCATTGATCACTATCTGTTGAGCGCGATGATCTAGCCAGCTTTCTATCCACCTTATAGTCCATTCATCTAGCCCATACTTCTTTAACTTGCTGGCAAGAATACTGAGGGAGACCATCTCAAAAGCTTTGCTAAAGTCAAGGAATAACATGTCCACTGCTTTCCGCTCATCCACAGAGCCAGTTATCTCGTCATAGAAAGTAATTAGGTTAGTCAGGAATGACTAGCCCTTGGTGAATCCATGCTGACTGTTCCTGATCACTTTTCTCTCCTCTAAGTGCTTCAGAATGGATTCCTTGAGGACCTGCTGCATGACTTTTCCAGGGACTGAGGTGAGGCTGACTGGCCTGTAGTTCACTGGATCCTCCTCCTTTTTCTCTGTTGTCTTTTATTGCCAAGTTTATTCTCTCAACTCTCTGCATATTTTGTATTTACTCTTTGTAATATTCTTTAAATGTAGCAGGATTGCTGGAGAAAGTATTAGAAAATGGAGGTTTTAGGTTTATTCGAGGTTGAGTTCATTGTCCAATCCTTTAGGGTGAGAGGTTAAAGATTTCTGAGCTTTTACAGAGAATTTGAATTTTGATTTTAGTTTTAAAAAATAGTTGATTAAATTTTGTAGGTGTTTTGGTGAGTGAATAAAGTAGAAATGAGTGGCAGGATGGCCTTCTGGTTCGGACACTGGGCTGGGTGCCAGGAGATCTGGGTTCACTACTTTGTCTTTGCCACAAATTTTCTGTATGACCTTGGGCATACAGAAAATTGACCAAAATTGAACCAAACTGTAAACCCTGTATATCATGGAAAGCACTTCAAGCCAGAGGTGTGGTATTATGCCCAGCACCCCTAGCTGCAGTACCTATATGCTCAGGAATGGGGAAAGTAAGTGACATTGGGCAGTCACTTAATCTTTCTGTTTCTCAGTTTCCTTTTAATAAAATAGGGATAATACTTCCTTTCTCCTCACCCCTCCGTCTGTCTTGACTGCTTAGATTGTAAGCTTGTGGGGTATACAAATAACTGTGCCACTCCTCTTTCCTTTAGGTCAATGTTTCCACACTGCTCAGTGGATCACTTGCTGGTAATCTGCAGGTGCTAACTCCTTATCTCCATCTGCTACACGGCATTCGTAGTCCGCTTTCCTAATATTCCTTGAATTGTGCTGTAGTTGCTGCAGGGTTGTCATTTGTTTAATGGAAGGGGAATGCTCTCCCTACTAAAGTGTGGTCCACACTGTGGAAAAGTTTTGGGAGCCGCCTCTTTAGGTTTCTGTCTAGGGGTTGAGAGGGCAGCTTTTCTGTCTGTAAAAGTCAAGGAAATCGTCACAAGCTGAGGCAAGTGGAGAGAGGTCCCAAAGCAAGCCATTCAGGTATGCATATAAGAACTGGAAGATCTTTACTGTTATAAACACTTTTTTCTTCTGCCTGTTTGTTTTTCATGTGTTTTTCCCTCCTTTTATAATGAACCCTGTGTTCATTAAATACAAAGGCCCCACCTTGTTGGTGAGATGGCATGGCCTAGGGGTATCTTGGAGTTGGTCAGGCATGCTGAGACTCCCTCTCCCAATCCATCCCTTATTTAAACAACTTTTGGCATTTACAGTCATTGTCCTCTCTTAACCTGAGACACTTAGCCTCAGTCAGTTTATTTAGTTAAGGCCCAGGTTCCGTCCCAAAGACCTTGTATTCTAAGACCTTAATTCTGTAACATGCTTCCTGTGGGCAGACCTCTGCACCAGAGCAGATTAATTATGCAGCACTGGGCCAAAATCTTTGCCTATCAGTGGAAGGAAATGGCAAGTAGTAATGCTCCAGTTGAAGACGTGAGAGATTTCTCCCTTTTGCTGCAGTGTGGAAATGGCATATTTGGCACTAAGGGTATGTCTTCACTACCTGCCAGATCGGCGGGCAGTGATCGATCCAGCGGGGTTTGATTTATTGCGTCTAGTCTAGATGGGATAAATCGACTCCCCGAGTGCTCTCCTGTTGACTCCTGTACTCCAGTGCTGCGAGAGGCGCAGGTGGAGTTGATGGGGGAGCAGCAGCAGTCGACTCACCGTGGTGGAGACACCATGGTAAGTCGATCCAAGTACGTCGACTTCAGTTATGTTATTCATGTAGCTGAAGTTGCGTAACTTAGATAGATCCCCCCTCTTCTCCCCACCACTTCCCACCCAGTTTAGACCAGGGCTTAGTGTGGGGGAATTGGAAGCATTTTCTTATTAGCAAAAATTCCTTTTCTTTTTTTTGGGAAGGGGAGCACATACTGTGTCAGATACACATCATTAGGTGTGTCAAGAATATAACCTGTATAGTACCAGTAACATGTCTGATAACTGCTCTACAAGTGTTAAATCTCTCAATCATCTCTTTGAGTGTGTGCCTTTTTTTTTTTTTTTTGGAAAGGTTAAATACTCTCCTGACCCATCTGACTTGGTTTAAAATTGCATCGCAGAAAACTACTACGGAGACATTAAAGCAATGCACACCATAACCAGAGAAAACCTGGGATAAGGATTGACTCAGATACTGGAGTGATGGGTGCCATAGAAAATCCAGAGGTAGCTATAAATGACAGAGACATTCATGAGAGGTAGCAGTCTGCTTCTCTAACAGAGAATGCTTTCCCAGTTCCCAGTATCAGACTCAAGTGGAATCCTGCAGAAGGACAATTTCAGAATGCTTGGCAGGGAAAAAAATAAAAGCTGCTTGTTTGAGCATTTCACACACACTACTATAATTAAGAGATGACTCTGATAACTGCTGAAGCTAATGCAGGTTGTGCTTCTGTTTTTAGGGGAGGAATACAGGTTGCGCATGCTGAATGGCTGCAATCTGTTGTCCGTAGCTTTGTGTTTTCCCTCCCCCGACCTCACCCCTGAAATTCTCATGCATTTCCAGCCTGATCTGAGAGCCCCACTCCCTTGTGTGGGTCTTTTGTTTCCTCTTTTTAATGGCAATTCCCTGCCCTTTGGCTCCGAGGCTCTTCATGCGAAATTAATTCCAAGGCTATCTTGAAGGCGGTCTGGATGAAATTTCTTCTGCATCATCCTTTTGGGGATAATTGTTTATGATGTGACGTCAGTCCAATTGATTTTCTCTTGAATGGCTGAGAGAGAAGAGGGATCAGCAGACACTAACGTGAAGCAAAGCTACAGCCTCTGTTTCAGAGAGATACAGAAACTGACATTCTGAATGCACTGCTAGTATTAGAATGTAATTGCACTGAATGGAGGGAGCCATACAATGCTAGTAAAATATGATTATTTATTCAGACTTGATTTTTTTTTTTGGCAGTCTTGTTTATGTGCACATTTCACGGCAGAGCCCTCTCTTAATCTGACAGTGGCTGATAATTAATCTTGTTCACCCAGCTGCTGCAATAGGATTATAAAGAGGGGAAGTGCGTCACAAGGTACAAAAAGGGGTTATGCGTTTGGTGAAAGTGTGGGGGAAAATAGGAAACGGGTTCTTGTGTTCTGGAGGGGTATTGTGTCAGGAGATGCAAGCATGCTACCATGTGACGAGGTACAGAGCTGGAGGGATTGGCTGAGACGCTGGCAGGCGTGTGAGCCAAGCCAGCTCTCTTTCTCTCCCTTTCTCTTTCAGCATCCTTCTGTGATCCTGTAGGTGATATGGATACAGCAGCATCCATGGCCTGTTTTTTGCCTTAGCATTCTTTTTCATTTTGCTCTGGCTGATGTACAAATCAGGGATCTAAAGCATTTATTTTAAGGACTTACATTAAGCATCTGATAACTGGAATCGTATTTTCCTGTATTTTTTCAGGCTCCTTGGAAATTGAGGAATGCAATTCTGCCACCATGATGGAAGGTAGGTTATTTTCTGAGTGTGTCTTGCAGTATTCCTAGAGTTTTAAAATGCATTAATGGGGAGGAGGAAAATGTACTGTGTGAGTATGTGTGTGTGAAGGAATTTGTATATGTTTCTCCTAAAAACCGTCTGGAAGCTTTTCAGAACTGGCATGTTGCAAATGATGATATAATATACAGCATGTTTAGATTATTGCAGTCAGATCCTCAGGACTGTGTGTGGTGTTCAAGATGTGCACATTTCTATTTAACCTGATCCTCTCAGGGTGATAAAACAGAAGCAGTCACAATGGTTCACAGTAGTGTAGAAATGTCCTGATCACAAAATAAATGTGAAAATGGGGTATTTTGCATTAAGCTCATTTGATTAAGTGTTAATTCATCACTTACATGGAAATTCACTTTCTGAATTTGACATTGACACAAGGCTGGTCATTGAAAATGTTGCCCAGGCCAGATTTTGTAGGTTTTCTTTAAGATTTATCAGGATAGGATTTTGTTTGCCCACAATCTAGTATTGAGGGTATGCAGCTGAATTGTTTGAGGGGGACCAAATGCATTTGAACTCAAGGTGATATTTGCCATGAAGTGTCTCTGGATTGAAGATGCAGGCTTTTTAAAATGATTTTATTTATTTATTTATTTGAGACTCGGAAAGAAATGAAAGGGCTGCAAGGGAAATGTGGCCTGCTGGGGCACATAAGATACTTATAGGAATGTCGTAAGGATGCAAATCTGGGCACATATGGCAAAAGCCTCCTGTTGTTTCTTGAACATATTTCAACCCGTCATTTTTTGCTCACCCATATAGAGAGCTGTTTTTATGCTTTATTGAGCAAGATACTAGGAAAAGGAACTATAAAACAATAGAGTAGATAGTTCATGGTCATTAAAATCAGATTCTTCTTAATCGCTTTACAGTCCCTTGGATAAAGACAGGAAGGGACCACCTCCGATACTGTAATGTGACCAGGAGACATATCGGCAGCTGTACTGAGACTGCAGTTCTTCTGGTTTTCACACCATACAATGGTGTAAAAATACTGCCCTCTCTAAAGATGACAGGCAGGATTTTGAATCTAGAATAGGTTTAACTATAGAGATTACAATCTGCTATGGTACGCATATCAACTATGAAAATAGTTATGCAGTTGTCCTGCATATTGAACAAAGATCTTGAGGATTTATTTTTAAATATTTACATTGAAATTTACAGAAATTGGATGCTATAGTGCATATTGATTTGCACATAATAATTATTTTGTTCCATAACTTTTTTTGGGGGTATTTAGCTATTAAAAGAATTAAGGTTATTGCTGTCTGATTCTTTAACTTTAAAATATAGATACAAACTAGTATCAGGTATAATTTTCAAAAAAAATAGTCTTTAATGGCCTGAGGCTCAATTCCTTTCCATTAAATCTAATTAATCAATGGGTCGTTGGGTTTTTTGTTTGTGTTTTTGGGGGGTGGGGGGAAGAGGTGTTTGGTAGCGAGACACTTAGGCTGTTGCAGGATTGAAAGAAACAGAATTGGCCCCGTCAGCACTGGTTCTCCACTTATGAGGTAACTCCCTTCTCTTTGTGTGTCAGTATATTTATGTCTGCATCTGTAAATTTTCACTCCATACATCTGAAGAAGTGGGGTTTTTACCCACGAAAGCTTATGCTCAAATAAATCCGTTAGTCTTTAAGGTGCCAACGGACTCCTTGTAGATTAAATTTAGATCATTTGCTGTTTACAACATATGTATTTCACAAAAGTGTGGCTTAATTTCAAGAAGAATTCATAGAAATAAATGGAAGTTGTTCAGTTTTACTACTTTCATAGATATTAAGGCCAGAAGGGACCATTATGATCATCTAGTCTGACCTCCTGCACAATGCAGGCCACCGAATCTCACCCACCCACTCCTGCAATAAACCTCTCACCTATGTCTGAGCTATTGAAGTCCTCAAATCATGGTTTAAAGACTTTTCTTGTACTGTTTAGCAAATCTCGTGATTGTCTTTTCCCCCTGGGTATTTATCTAGTGAATTATATGGTTGAAGTGTGTTCTCTGGAGATGATATACTAATGTAACCCTTTGATTCCCCTTGCAGTATAGTCTACTGTGTCATCACAGACTGTCAGTTTGGTCCATTCTGATAAGCTTATCAACGTGCTGCCTAAACTAAAGTGAGGAATTAAACGAAGGCCTGTATTGAGTTTTATGGACAGCATTAGTATGGATTTAAAAGATGCATCCTACACAGGTTGCTACGTTGTGCCTTACAGAGAAAAGAGAAATTAAATGGTAAATATTAAGGGGCTTTTGTTGACTCTGTTGAGAGAAGAAAATAACCTTTTATAAAACATTTCTGCATTTAAAAAAAAAAGGGAATTAAAAATACAGGTTTCCTATGTTGGATGTTTGTGACTCCTTATGAGATTGCTTACTGTGTTTTTCAATTATCTTAATGCTTCAGGGACTCAAGAAAGGAAGCAAGACAATGGAATTTAGTGGATAAAATGATTAACAAGTTTGATTAATTTTTAATAGTTTAAAACGAGTTCTGTTTAAGGACTACAACAACAATACAATCAACACCTAATTCTGAAGACCATCATGTTGCAAAGACTCATGTCTTGGTACCAGAACATTCTTAAAGTGTCACTGTCCGGTGAAACTTGACCTGAAATTTAGGTTTTATAAAAGCCTATGACCAAGCTGTTTCCTTAAACTACAACTTTTAAAAAAGGTCACTTAAGTCCTCTGCAGTGTTTGTCACCATGACATTGAGATACTGTGCTAGTGTCTGAGAACCTGAAAGAGAATTTAACTAGAAAGAAAAGTGAAATTTACTAATCTATTTCCTTTATCCAAAGTGGGAAAGGGGCCGAGAATGAATGTGGGTCATCACTAGCTAATAGCTCCTAGATTTAAACATCTGGGAGCCTAATATTCTTGATGGATGTTCTTGGGCGGATGTTTTCCTTTACCAGTAAGATAGAACCTAATTCTATCGACCTTTTTTGGTACTGTGTCAGATTCCTCTTCTGACTCTTGAGTGGGTGGCTTGCTGGATTTTTTTTTAAACAGGCAAAAGTTGTATTTCTATATTTTTAAATCATATTTATTAAATTCTTGTGTGTGTACCTGACATGTAATAGGGTACATTTGCTATATCTAAAAATACCTGAGGAAAGGCACGTATATTTCATAGTATGCTTAAAAATCATAATGAGCGTCTTAAAAAGCAGCCAAAAAAATCCCAACATGGTAGCTGCCTTCAGAGAACAGTGGATTCTGAACATATGCCATAGAATGTCTAGGATAAAAGAAGTAAATCGGACTGAAGAAGAGCTCTTCGTGGCTCGAAAGCTTGTCTCAATCACCCACAGAATTTCCAATAAAAGATATTACCTCACGCACCTTGTGTCTCTAATACCCTGGGACCTACACGGCTACAAATACACTGCATACAGGAGTAAATCAGTCTTGAATTTCACAATAATTAATCATAGATTCATAGGACTGGAAGGGACCTCGATAGGTCATCTAGTCCAGTCCCCTGCACTCACGGCAGGACTAAGTATTATCTAGACCATCCCTGATAGGTGTTTGTCTAACCTGCTCTTAAAAATCTCCAATGATGGAGATTCCACAACCTCCTTAGGCAATTTATTCCAGTGCTTAACCACCCTGACAGTTAGGAAGTGCATACTATATTGTTTAACTTGTATATTGCCTTAGTGCCTACTGGAGGCCAACCAGGCACTGTACAAACATGTAGGAAAGGACAGTCTCTTTCTCAAAGAGCATATAATCTCCTGTAGTTTTAAAACGTTGAGAGAAAACACACCTGTAACAGAATTGTATCATGTGACACAACTAGGATTTGCATTCAAATGACTAAAAACAGGTATGAAATTCCACCTTCTCAACAGTCTTTGGTATAATGGCTTGTTCTAGAGATTTGGATCTTCACAGTGAGTTGTCAAGTAATTCTGGGCCTGATCCTGTAACCCTTACTCAAATAATCTGATTGGTTGGCATAACAGAGGTAAATTGTGTGCTCCCTTTTCTCCTAATACAAGAACAAACAGAATTAACCCATGGAATTCTCTGCCACAAGATATTATTGAAGCTAGTAGCTCAGTAGGGTTCCAGAAGGATTAGGCATTTATATGGATAATGAACACATCCACAATTACATTAGACTGGATAATATTTTTTATAAGAGATAGAAAACTTCATTCTTAGGAGCTGGTTTATTCCCTGATCTGCAGGGAGTTAGCGAAAAACTTCCCCTCTGGACATGTTGTTCCATAATTGTCTACTACAGACTTTCTTGCACCTTTCTGTGGCGTCTGCCACTGGCCACGGTCAGAAATAAGATAACTAGAATAGATGGATGGATCCAGTATTGCAAATCCATTGTTCCATTGACTTCAATGTATTGCATTGAACTCTATTATTGTCATGCTGAATATACAGAATTAGGACTGCAGGTAATTGGTAGTGGTTAGTAAAGTCTCCCCTTACCAAGAGGAGAAGCAAGAATGATGCTTTCACTATATTCTTAGACATTGATGCTTTATTGTTCCATACATGAATTTCTCAATTCTAGCAATTTTAAGGGTTCTTACATGGAAGTGTTTTTAATGTGTGTTTTTTTGTCTTATGTAGTTTTCTGAGCACAGCCACTGGTAGGTTTGGGATGATGATTGATGCAACAAGTTCACTTGTAGTTATGCATAGTAAGATATAAAACAAATTTTTCTAGCTTGCTAGTGCGCAATTGATAGGATCTGCAGTATCAGTCTCTAAAATTTCATAAATACATATTTAATAGTAATGTTGTATACTAACAAAACATAGAGTGCCGAATGTAGCCTCAGACAAACCAAAAGATCCATCACCCCTTGATTATGGGAACGTTTGGAGGTGGATCTGTATCCGGAATTTGTTTCATGCTCATTCATAATAGCATTGAAAAACAATTCTGTTCACAACTA